AATAAATGCTTTGTTTCCTCGTTCCGTTGGCACATACGATTCAACAACTTGGTTCAACCTCATGTTGACAACATTGATGAAAGAATAGGCACAATACAAGATAAGGAGATAAGGCATAAGCACCCAGATGCAGACTTAAATCCTCCAATTCTGAACAAGTAATTGGCTCTACATCCATTCTTGAAACAGTAATGCCTTGAGATGATGATATAGATGAAATTGACCCAAGTGGATATCAACAATGACTTAAGGAATGGATAAATCTAGCTGAGTAGGTGCTTAGTTATCCTAGACACACGAAAATAATAACAGGCAAAATGTTCCTATTTTTTTTTCCTCCATGGCAAGTGTTTCCTCCATGTGGGATGTCTATGATGTTTGGTGTGAGATGTCTCAGGTTTTGGGTGGCTTTGTTTTTTGCTGGTGTTGTTTTATATATATTTTTGCTAGTCAATCAATCAATGAATCAATCAGTGCCCTTGCGCTTCTAATATAGATGAATTTTGAATCATGTTGATCAACTAAAGTGTTCAGTTGAACTAATGACGGCGACCCTTTTGTAGCGGATAATCCAATGAGTTGAGACATTTCTGAGAGACCTATGTTCACAGAATAGGACAGGTACGAACCCATCATAAGCCTCGCTGTTTGTGGGCCAGATTGTTTGATAGTACCATAGTCGATTTAGACACTGCAGTCTGCTCCTGTGGCCGAGTGATAAAGCTCTTGGTTTCCAAGAGTCTCTAATTCAGGGTTTTGAACTTCTGGATTGTTAAAACATTCAACCAACTTTTTGGTTCAAGCTTATATCAACACTCACTTTCTGTTTGGTCAAAAGTTTGTACACCTCCGTTTTCAGATCAAGTTGAAACTTTACACACAATTATTCACAGTTGAGGAAAATATATGAATCAAGCAATGAAAAAATTAAATATATTTTATATAGAAAAAGGGAGTTAAAACTTGCATTATTGAGAGATTTGGAAGTGAATTTGCGGTTCTTCTCCTTATATAAGCTTTGTTTTTTGTTGGTGTTGTTTTATATATATATATTTGCTGTTGTGCTTGTGAGCTCTATACCAGACGTCTGAAATACAAAGAAGTAAAAAGGGGGACAGTTGTTAGATCTTTAGAGATTTCTTTGTTACTTTTCCATGTCGTTTTTTTTTTTTGTTTCATCATTTGTTAGAAAAATAAGTGACGACACTGCAATAGTTGTGTGACAAATTTAGAAAATGTCAGCCATGAAGTAATATTTTTAAAAAAAAAGCGTATAAGCAAATATTTTCTATCAAAGCAGCCAATCGGGATCTGTTTTAAGAGTATCTACAGTTGTTCTGACTCTATCAAATGTCATGTCCGGGTACGCACTAAAAGCACCTCTCCGAGACTTGAAAGTCAGACTAACCTTAAACTTCTCGCCCTTCCTGTTTAGAGGTCTCTATTCGGGCACATCAGCTGCTTGTTGTAATGTGAAGGATAAACTTGAAGCTTTTTCCTTTCTTGTTTGTTTCAGCTCAATGTTTAGACTTTTGAGCAACATCTTATCTAGGACTGTTTCCTTGGATACCCTTTTTGTTTTCCTTTTGTGTTATCATTATTAGTATTTGAGTTCTTAGAAGATCACAGAAACACACAGGTCTAGACTCTAGGGGGTAGTCCAAGTGTAAACTAGAGAGGAGAAATGAGTACTAGGAGTACTGGGAGATGTTTAGGAGAGGAATACTCTAGAAGTACTAGGGGATGTATACTCTAGGAGTACTAGGAGAAATGTATGGGGCACGGTGACCTAGTTGTAAAACAGTAAAAGTGCTTCGCTGACCGAGAGGTCTGGAGTTCAAAATCCATGAGTCCATGGCATTAGATGGAGAAAGTTGGTCGTTGTGCTGGTCACATGAAATTCCTCGTTAACCGTAGGCGATAGAAACAGATGAGCTTTACACCATCTGCCTGATAGAGCGCAAGGTTTAAAAGGGGCTTAGTCACTGACCAGAAGTAATTCTTGAATTAGATTGAGCAGACAACACGTTGAAAAAGACTTTCATCATCGATTTGATTTGGCAACAAGCCTCTTTCATTTATTTGGCAAGCCTCTTTCATTTATTTGGCAAGCCTCTTTCATTTATTTGGCAAGCCTCTTCATTTATTTGGCAAGCCTCTTTCATTTATTTGGCAAGCCTCTTTCATTTATTTGGCAAGCCTCTTTCATTTATTTGGCAAGCCTCTTTCATTTATTTAGCAAGCCTCTTTCATTTATTTGGCAAGCCTCTTTCAGCTAAACAAAACAAAAAAAAAGTCGCGTTCAGTTAAATAACAACTTCCATTATCTTTCTTTCCATTGAGACCAAACAGCAGTGTTCTGAGTGTCCACGCACTCTCTAATGTCTGTTATAATGTTTGTATTTTCATTTGTCAGAAATGAGTGTTGACAAAGTATTTGTAAAATATAATATAACTTTTGATGACACTAAGACTTAATGGCTTAATTCGTTTGTTTGTCCATATCTCTAGGACTTGAAAAAGTCTTCCACTTGAAACTCACTTCTTAGCTGAGTCAAACTATATTGGGTAAACCCGAACACGGGAATCTTTTGTCTAGATGTTCAGTGAATGCTTTCAGTCTCTCAACTGGTAAGTGATGAATCAGAATCTCCACATGGTGGTTGGTTATCACCCGCGTCAGCGTGAGAACATGTGAATTCAAAGATAACAGCGTACTTTATCTAGGAGGCGCTGTGGCCGATTTTTAAAGCGTTTGGCTTCCGATCGGGGGGTCCCGGGTTCGAATTCTGGTGACGAATGGGATTTTTATTTTCGGGATCCTAGGGCGCCTCTGAGTCCATCTAGGCGGTTGGTCATTGTGCTGGTCACTTGACACCCTCGTTAAACGTGGGCCACAGAAACTGTTGACCTTTACATCCTCTTCCCCATAGATCGAAAGGTGTGAAAGGGAAACTTTACTTATCGAAGGATAAGAGATAACAGATAACTTTATAAGAGTTAAATATAAAGAGATAACAGATAACCCCTCCCGCCATGATCGCTACCGTCCTCCAAAAGATTAGATCGTAACGATCTTTAGTTTTAGAAGGAACAACTGAAACTCACAAGTTATGGACCATTGAAACATTAAAAAACTTTTCAAAACAATTATAACAAGGTTACAAAGACAGTTTATGTGGAAACACAAACTCAAAATCGGACACCGAAGTGGTCCACCCAGGCAGGTAAAATTGCAGGTATCAATATTTTCAAAAAGAACATCAGAATTAAATTCTATCAAATGACAGGGAAGAATGGAGAAAGAAGGTTGACAGATCTTGTGTGGTGCCCCAGCGGTCCAGCAGACCAAAGGATAGGTAAAAGTGAATGTGAAGTTATATGCGAACCTGGCCTAACTGATGTATTACCCGGCATAATGAATATCTAATTGATCTAATTGTTTTGTAGAGGGTCAATCTCTTATTCAAATCCTCAAAAAAATAAAGACAAAAAAAAAACATTTCCGTAAAAAAAATAAAAATCCTTTTATTACGTGTTATCTGATTAGTGTACACTACTGCAGTTTACGTGCTAATTTGAAAACCTACTTATTAATTTTTGTTTTAAATTATGTCCAACTTATATGTATACTAAATATATTTTTTTCTCTTAAAAAAAGAGTAAACATTATTTTTGGGTAAATGTAGTAAGTAGGATAGAAGTTACATAACGAAGCAATACAAATGCAAAAAAAAAATAAAAAAAATTTTGTAACAAAACGTCTAAAACCTTATGCTTAAATGTGTTAAAAATATGGTAGATTATAGACTCCCCTACTAAGGAATATTCCGTGTTGTTATTATTAGTAGTGAATAGTTGTAAAAGTGGTGTATTTTTATTGGAAAAAAAACTACTTGCCTAAGTGATTTTAAAAAATTAGATTTTTCGCTTTTAGAAAAGAAAAAAATAGCCTTTGCGTTAGAACTTTGAATGGACTAAAATATTATGATGTCGTATTTTCACTATCTTTTCTAGTTTACGACATCTAAACAGGACAGACGGACAGACATTGCACACAAAACTAATAGCGTCTTTTCCCCTTTCGGGGGCCGCTAAAAAAGAACAACAAAGCTTATACGAAGTGTATCAGTTCATATAATTAACTTTGTAATTGATCTAAACCAACAACAATAAATCTGTGAGATTAGAAATACTTGTACCAATTGTTGTTGTTTTTTTTTGCGCTATTTCATGTTTTTAGCTTTCTCAATATTCTATAATTCTATTTACATATCTGGATCAGTTTTGTGGGATGGGAAGAAGGGGGGGGGGGCGAGGGGGAAGAAAGAAATGGATATCTGGTGGGGAATTTTTACCATATACGCACTTATAAAAAAAAAAAGGGAGGTGGGGACAGCCTAAATCGAACTCATGGCTCAAGCCAACATACTGACCACTCTGCTAGTGAGGTATCTATAAAACCACTTCAGTCAAGTACAATTTCTTTCCCTAGTTCGAGATACCAAACAAAAATAATAAATTACCAATAGTTAATTAACTAATTAGATAATTTTTTAAATTGTGCAAAATTTCAGCTAGATCCGAGATTGGGTATGGGAGAAATAAGGTAAACAAACTTTTGACCAGACAGACAGACAGTGAGTTGATATAAACTTTGTACAAAGGGATGTTCCGTGTTGGTAAATGAATCGAAAATCTTCTTTCAAACACACAAAGTCATAAGTTGTGTAGGATAATGGCCGCTGTTAAATATAGAAATGATCATGAAGACACGTGGCTGCCAGAAAGTATCTGGTGGTGTGGATGCACATGTTGCAGCTTACACTATACTGTGATCAATGACAAACTCGTGCATCATACAATTTTATAATTTATTAGACACACCCTCCCCACACAAACACAACCCTAGGGAGAAGACGCGATTATTGATTTAAAAAAAAAAAGACCTTTGAATGTTGTATGCAGATACATTAACAACAAAAAAACAACTAATAAAATTTTTAGAATGTCATTTTTTATTGAACAAAAATACACCACCACAATATACAATTCCATTATTTGACAAAAGTCTTCATCTTGTTCAAAATATATCTGTTTGCTAATTATCTGAAAGTGCAATGAAATATTCCAGTTCTAGAGATACATTGAAAAGTATAATCGGTCTATAAATGTTTAGTGGTACATACATTATTCTTATAGTTTCAAAGCATACTGAATATATGTTCACAGGTGCATCAGTTGTAGAAGTGTCCTTGTTATTTTTAACATGCATTTTAAATATGCATTTTGCATGAACTTAAATTAAAACCATTCTTAAAACAAGATTTAAACGGGAATCCATATTGTCAAAAGGTTATTTACGTTATTACACTAGCTTATAATGTACATTTAGGCATGAATTTGTGTAACTTAATAAGTAAGTACGACTTACCCCCCCCCCCCCCCCCCCCCCCCCCCAGGAGCTACCTACTAGACTGATTGCCTTCATTATCTTTTTGTTTTCAATGACCACTGCGTAAACAAGTGAATACGCATTTGTTTCATAAAACACATTTATTTATTACATATCATACACATCATTGAAAAGTGATCTACTGAAAATGAGTTATTCAATAATACAGATCCAGTATTCCTAGTCGGTTACACATACAAAAGATAATGGTGTATTCAATATATTTTATCATGTGCATACATTTGTTTTATCTAAAAGCAGAAAGAAACTATCAACGCTAGTTTGACTTTTGACAAAGTTTGGTGCTGATAACCTCAACGACATGCATCCAGCGTTTCTCAACCTGTGCTACGTGGGCACGACATGGCCTTAATTGTGCCGATGTGTCAAAAACCTAAAATAAACAAAATAACTTAACTGACAAATAGAAGATATGGAAAGAAATGAGTGGACAGCTGAAGATGTGAAATTGGTTTCTACGCAGTGATATGTTTACACAAGAAATACATGGGGCAAAGTTTGCTAACGTGTAAAATGTAAACAAAAACAAAACAACAAAATAACGAAGGTTGAGAAACGCTGATTGGAAGACCTTTGAACCCTAAACTAAATCATCTGCAAGTTTATAGACTACTTTGTGCTTTTGTTGAAAGAACAAGAAAGTATGCCAATTAGTGGTGTAGAAAACTAATACAACTATTTACTCTTGGAGATAAGATTAAAAAAACAACAACCTGTGTGTTAAAGTACAAAAGGATCATGTTGTTGATACAATACCTCACCCGAATCTGGAGCTCGACTTCTATAGTGTACATTCTGTTTCCGTACAGCCGCCTTAAAATAGACTCAATCCTTTCTTAGGTTGTACAACGATCTGGAATAGCGATTTGTATCACCCAGCGATACATGTCAATGTTCAAGTCTACAGATGACAGACTTGTGACAAGCGATTCAAAGGGTTTTTAAAAAAGTAAACTCTCGTTATAAAAGTTTGAATGTTTATCACTGACCTATATTGGTTTCTTTGCGTGTTTATGATTTTGTTGTTGTTACGGTTTTACTAATGACTCGTTATTATAGTGTTTAAGAACAATCCCCAAAGTCTTTAATCTAAACCTATCGAGTGAGGACTTGACATGGTAAATACACATCTGTCATGGGCCCTCGTATCTGTTAAATGGAGTCACTGATTCTGTTATCAGTCTGGACATTGTGATAAGTCACTTAAGTCTAGAGTTACAGCCAGTCTGACATCCCAGCGTTAGAAAGATAAGGCTGCGATGCAGCCCGTGCGACCTTTCTGCTTTTCTCTCTAGATTCGTGGCTATCCGGCTGTCTCGTGTCCACATCCGGGTGCTCGGCTTGTTGAACGTGGTGCTCCTGGGGCAGGTAGTTGTAACTTTTTGACCTTGGCATGTCCTGGGGCCTCTGGTGCCGCCTTGGAAAGGCCTGGTTGAAGCGAACCTCTTGCTGGTAGTGATCATTGTAAGCGCGGGGCCTGTCTTCGTATTTACTCCTGATGGTCGGCATGGTCATGTAGCCATTGATTCCGTGTTCCGGTCTTCTCGACCTTTCCTGCAGCATCCAGTTTTTGGACCACTCCCAGCCCTCCCGATCCTGCCAGCCTGTCACCGAGTCCCTGTATGCATAGGGTCGACTTTGTCGGTGGCTGTCCCCTGTGTAGAAAACCCGGCTGTCTCCTTCTTTTCTGTAATTTATGTTGGCAGCTGGATAAGGTAGATAATTTCCGTAGCTGTCTCTGTGGTATCGTCCGAGGTTCACATAGTCGCTCTCCTCTGGGTACACTGGCCTTGACCTACCTTTTTCTAAAGGATGTTTGTATCTCCTTTCTTTTTCGTGGTTTCTTCTCGCATCCACAACGGCGCTCTCTGAAATGTAACCATTGGGCTTCAACGCTTGATATTTGTCTTGGCGTCGTTCTCTTCTTGCGATGACGTTCCAAATCTCGTCAGCGACCTCCTGCTTGACCATCCTTATGTAATCTACCTTCTTTTTGTGTTTCCACTCTTCTTCCAGTTTCTCCTCCAGTTTTTGCTTCCACTCTTCTCTGGCCTTTTTCTGCCTTTTGTAAAAGCGATAGAGGCTCCCGACAATTGCCGCGATCAGAACCAGCCCGATACCTATGCCACCAAAGATGATGGAGTATAGCATGGTCTTGTTGCACTCAAGGCTCCCCGTCTCCCACGAGGTGATGTGCATTCCGATGCGGCTGCTTGGGCTGTGGCACCGATACTTGGTCGAGTTGGCATCCAACAAATTGTTGAATATGACGTGGCTCCTCTTGATCCAGTCCCGGAAAGCCAGCATGTCGCAAGTACAATCGAAAGGGTTGCTGGACAGGTCCAGCTCTTGCAGGTTGGTCATATCTCGAAATATCAGCGGCGAGACCATTCGAATGTTGTTGTTTTGAAGGTAGATCTTCTCCAGTTTGTTCACTCGCTCTAGTATATTCTCTTGGAGAATCTGAACTTTGTTAAAACTGAGATCAAGAAACACAAGGTTCTCAAGATTTCTTAAAACGTACGGCCAGTACACGTCTGACAACTCGTTATTGGATAAATCTAAGTATCTCAAACTCAGCATATGCTGCAGTGTATTGTCATCTAAGCGGCTTAGCAGATTGGACGATAAGTCAAGGTACTCCAAACCATTCATTCCTTTGAAGGACAGTGGGTCCACAGACACCAGCTTGTTCAAACTCAAGAATAAGACTTGTGTAGCCACCCATTTCATTTGTTTAATTTGTTTCAGCGCGTTTCGGGACAGATCTATGACAAGGGGTGACTGGGGAATGAAGGCGTCCTCATGGAGGAGGCTGATATTGTTGCCACTAAAGTTGGCAATCTTGATAAATTTGCCATTTTTGAACAGCTGGGTGGGAATGGAGTCGAGATTGTTGTCACTGATGTCAAAATACTGCAGTCCTGAAACGTCAATGAAAGCGGACAGCTCTTTGATGTTGTTCTGGCTGTAGTTCAGGTACTGTAGTGTATGGGTGTTTGGAATTATAAAGTCTGGCATCTGGTTGTAGCTGACGTCAAGAAATTCTAGCTTGGTCAGCTTTTGAAAACTGATATCGCTGCCAGAGGCCAGCTTGTTGTAAGACAGGTCGAGGTGCCTTAACTCACTCAACTTTTCTACATGATCCTTGAAACTGACCAGCCGATTGTTAGAAAGATCTAAGTGCTTTAAGTAGCGCAGGACTTCAAAGGCTTTGCTCATGTGGCTGAGTGAGTTGTTGCTCATGTCCAGTGATTGGATGCTGGGAAGGTTCTCAAATACGTTTTCCATTATGTCCTCGATGCCGTTGTGTGAAAGGTTAAGCGCTTTGATAGACAGCTCCGTTACATCAGAAAACAAGGGATCGATTGTTTTCAAATTCATCTGCGCAATTGCCAGGCTCTGAAGACGCTTAGAGGTCTGGAGATTCTTCAGCACATTGTTTAGGGTCTCCGCAGAAATGTAAGTGTTTCCTGTTAAATCCAGGGCTGTCAGGCTGGGAATCTTGCTCAATCCTAGCTCTGTAATGGTCCTTAGCCCACAGAAGCTCAATTTCAGCGTTCGGTTGACAGACGCTATCCATTCTCCGGCCACGTCAAAGGAGTCGTCTGTGATAGCTTCGATATTGTTGTTGGACAGATCAATGTACTCAATCTCTTTAACAACCTGGGAGGAAAAGGAAATATATTAGTCAAGTCATGACTTTATTTCTTCTAGATTCATATTCCAGAAGCGGTATTTATTTTACAAATATCGAGAGAGAACTTCTCTAAAAAGGTTACACTAACCTGAATGTTGTACGTTTTCGGTACACCCAGGAGACATTTTTACCTCAAACTATGTTGAGTATATTTTTTGTTACTGTTAAATGATACCGTTATTTACTAATGCTTACCTGGAATCTAGCTGCGAGAACCAGTGTGTTTATTTTGTTGTGCGACAGATCCAGTATTCTTAGCTTAGGCATATCTGACATGATGGCTTCAGGCAGAGCCGACATCTCGTTGTAGCTGAGGTCCAGATGTTCCACCTGCTTAGAGTCTGTGAAGAAGTTGTTTGGCAACATCGTCAGGCTGTTGCCGGCCAGGACTACCGTGTGCAGTTTGTCGAGTCCCCGGAATAAGCATCCTGGCAGCTCGCTCAGCCCATTGTTGGAAAGGTCGATATGGGTCAGGTTGGGCAAGCCTGCGAAGGCGTCCACATCGGAGAGGGCAGGGCCCAGCTTGTTGTTGGACAGATATAATGACACTGTAGTGGCCGGGATGGTTGGGACCACCGTAAGTTGTTGGCCGGAGCAGTCCACGTTTACATTTCTGCATGTGCAATGTTCAGGGCACTGGGTAGTTAGTGCCCCTGAAGTCAAGAAGACAAACCAAATCACGTAGTAAATTACACTTGCTGTCATTTTGTTCTAGATTGCAGTGGTCAAAGTTGTAATCTGTGAAGATATCAAATTATTGGCGTTATAGACATACGGGATAATAAGTTTGCATAGACATGAACGTGTAAACAGACGGCTAGATTCATGCACAAATAAAGAGATAAATGACCAGACAAGAAAATTGTCGGATGCCAGGCAGGACGAGAGAAGGAGGAATGGGTTTGTTGTCACATTGGGCTTGTTATTTAATTTGGTTTGGATTTGATACAATGATTGTAGTTAAGACTGTTCTTTTATATATGAGAAGACGCGTTCTTATTTCCTTAATATTATTATTAGTAGAAAAATAAATACGTCGAGGCTCATGATGTGACACTTTGTTCAAATTGGTTTTCAATTCCTCCAATTCTTCTCCGTCTGAAAGACTCATGCTGTCACATTGGTCATAGTGTTTTGAGTCTTTATATTTGTGCATGATTCACCACTTTGAATGTCTTGGCGTGTATATTCTCCACTGATCAAAGTTGTTTAGCCAATATGTCTACTTGCTAGGCGAGCTATTTAGCATGCTACTACAGGCATGGAATAAGATTTCCTCAAATAA